CCAGCAGGAAATAAAAACAAGGTATTGGAAAACATGGCTGGCTAGTTAGTGTGGCTGCCTGCTCTGCCTGCTGGCTCATTTTTGTATATCCTGGCATGCTTTTGTTCTTTGTTTTATTCTTAGAGGTTGTTAACTGGGCTGTGATCAAAACTGCAAGATTAAGCCAAAGATTAAGCTAGAAGAAACCATGATGTAGCCGAGTGTATAGATGGAAGAACAATGAAGGAATGTTTAAATTTTTAAGTTCTATTATTAATAGTTCATTATTAGTTCATTTATTCATTTAAAAGATATTGGGCATTATGCACCAGGCACTGGCTAATGGAAAACGCAAAGTTAAAAAAACACCATAAATGTATGTAAAATGGCAATTGTGGGACGTTAACACTTAGTGGAACCAAAAGACACTGTAACTGGGATTCGACTGAAAGGAGGGGAGCGCTCTCTTCGGAAAATTATATCGAAAGGATAAGTGGGAGTTAACCAGTTAAGTGAGGAGGACAGAGCATTCCAGACAAAAGGAATAACATGTACAAAGGAAGGATCATGATATCAGGGGACTAAAAGGAGGCCAGTGTAGCTGGAGCAGAGAGAGAGCAAGAAGGAACATGAGCCTTTCAGACAATGTTAAATATTTTGGGCTTTATCCTGAGAACAACAGAAAGCTATAACGTTTTAAGCAAAGAGGAGATAAAATCAAGTTAGAGATGGATCAAAGCAGATACTGGCAGATCAATTAGGAGGCTCCTACATTGGTGACAATCCAAGATAAAAGGTAGCATGGACCAGAGCAGAAATGTAGAGAAGAAAGGATTCAAGAAATATTTTAAAGTAATGTATTTTAAAGTAAAATAAAGTAATATTTTAAAGTAACAAGATTTGGGGGATAGATTTGAAATAGAAATTAAAGGGAAAAGGGAATAGAAAGATGATTCCCAGGTTTTCGGCTGGATTCAATAGAAAAGATTATGGCGCCATTCCCTGAAAAACGAAACAACGAAAGAAGAGTTTGGGAAGAAGGGTATGAATTAAGTTTTGGACATGTTGAGGTTGCCATACCTCCAAGACATCCAAGTGGGTGGGCAGCTGAACATTATTATTAGCTTTTATATGTACACAGAAAAATACATTTTTATTTTATATTTTAAAGGGAAAAACCTTTGGAAGCAGCTTTTGCTTAGCAACCTATGATGCAGTGATGATTCAACAGATCTTTAACTGTGGCTACACGAGACTAGGTCAAGTGAAATACCACAATTGCCAAGTTATAGCAAACATACACTATCAAATATATAAAACCTCTTCGAGAGTTTATAGTGTGTGGCCACGTAATTGAAAAATAGTATATATATATGATCAATCTAAAAAAAAAAAAGGTTCCCATCTTTTGTTTATTAAGTCACCTAAATTAAAACCAAATTTAGATGTTCATTAATTAATAATGGTGCAATCATAAAAGTTAGCATATTAAAGGAAATGTACGGAAACAGAGCCATCTCCCCATTCCACTTCCGCAGATTTACTGTTACCTGGATGGTATTTCCAATAGGGGCCCCCGGGGCGCCTTCGATGCTGGGCTTTGAGAAAGCTGGCGGCAGGCCTGCTTGGCTGAGAGGCTGCTGTAGGCCGTGGAAGGGCTGGCCACCCGGGAGATGTGGCTGCGGGAAGGAAGCTTGGCCTGACAGCGGTACTGGCGCCGACGGCTGCTGCTGCAGCATCTGTGACTGGGGGTCGCCCAAAGGGTTCATGATTGGTGATGTGATAGGAACGGGGGGCATGAAGTTTTCAGGCATCTGTTAAGAGATTGAAATAAAAGACACCAAGAGTGAGAATAAAAAAGATAGCACCATTTCCTCAGCCTGAAGTAGGGAGTTAATCTATTCCATGGTTAAACAAAATTTTTAATAGTAGCGGAATACTTATTTCAAATGA